TCTATTGCATAAAACATATTGCAAATCACATATTACACATCACAAATTACTTATCACATATTGCATATTAAATATTAATTATTACATATTTTGAACCTCATATTACATGTCACACATTACATGTCACACATTACATATCACACATTACATATCACATATTACATATCATATATTACATATCACATATTACATTTCTCATGTTAAACATCACACATTACATATCACATATTACATATCACATATTACATATCACATATTACATATCACATTTTACACATCACATATTGGACATCACATATTGCATATTACATATTACACATCACATATTACATATCATATTACACATATCATATCACATATCATATTATTGCATATCACATATGACATATCACATATTACATATCACATTACACATCACATACTGCATATCACATATTGAATTAAATGAGCCCCAAACTTGCATCAGTTTCGTTAAGCCTATGAGGTTATTGGGGTCAATGGGGTCAATGGGGTCAATGGGGTAAATGGGCTCAATGGGGTAAATGGGCTCAATGGGCTCAATGGGCTCAATGGGGCCGTTCCTTGTTAATACGTTGTGAAAACGCCTGCACTATCTACCATATAAATCTGAGCTATAAATACTATCTTATCCAACCACATAACAATCATCTTAGCCAGAGCTATAAATATAAACTAATCCAGACCTGTAATCGTCATCTCATCCAGAGCTTTAAATATCATCTCATCCAGACCTATAAATATCTCATCATCCATCTTTCATCCTTTTTGTTCCCACTAATTCCCCCGTCCATTAAATCTCATGTAACAACGGGCCCTAATCCTATTTCTCTACACCGCGAAGATCGGTAAGAGGCCTCTAATGTGTGAAAGAAGCATTTCTTTCCCCCTTAAGCTGGTCCTAATGGTGCCTGTTTTGTCCCATCCCTTATTTTTTATAATCCGATTTATCCCAGTGCAAAAAAAAAAAAAAAAAAAAAAAAAAAAATTAAATAAAGGGGAAGACGACGAGTGTGAGAACTGTATCCAACCAGGCCATCAAATAATCTCCTATAATCATTCATCACTTCATCAAACATCAACCCTTTCATCACCTATAACTGATCCATTATTCCATCCCACATCCAACATTTCTTCACATGTACATGATTTCATCTGTATACTTGTAATCTGAATGCTTTTGACCTATTTGCTTATAATCTGTATGTCTACAATCTATATGCTTATAATCTTTAAGGGGATAATATAGTTGAGGAATAAAATGTTGTTGTTTTTTTAAAATCTGTATGCTTTTTTATTTATGTGATGCTAATCTATATTGCTATATTTCTTATCCCTATAAATTTTTTGCTTGTAATCTATGTGCCTGCAATCGCACTGAACATCCGCTAAGTGGCATATAGTTATAGCTAAGCAAATGACATCGTATCAAAAAACATTATTTCAAATAAAATGTTTATCATGCATAACCGCTAGGACAGTGGTTCTCAACCTGTGGGCCGTGACCCCTTTAGGGGGAGGGGGGTCGAACGCCCCTTACACAGCGGTCGCCTAAAACCATCGGAAAACATATATATTTATGAAGCAGCTCCGCAAATAATTTTATTGTATGGTGGTCACCGCAACATGAGGAGCAGTATTAATGGGACGCTATATATTAGGAGAATTGAGAACCACTTCGCTAGGACGATAACCACAGTCACACATTCAAGATTCTATGGCAGAGCTTATACAACGCTTTCCCCTAGTTTATTTCCAACAAATCTCAGTAACACTTAAAGGTCTACCTGTTGCCGGTCGATTTAAATTTTAAATGGATTTTCTTTTAGCAAACTCCCCAAACCTGCTCTACCATAAAGACGTCATGCCGCCAATATTCTTTACTTCAATGGATCTATCGGCACACTCCGATAAGAAACGTGATTGACAACTCAGAATGACACCTTTAAAAAAAGTGTCGAGACCTTCGATTGTCAGAACTGACAGGTTCGGTTTGGAGGGGGTTGGGGGGGGGGTAGATCATAGGGTGCTAAACCTAGCTTGTTTCCCTAGTCAGTTCCATTGAGAGCCACACATGACGCCAGTGGACAGTTGCGCCACACATGATGCCAGTGGACCATTGAGAGCCACACATGACGCCAGTGGACAGTTGAGCCACACATGAGTCACTGACAACAATCAAAGGTATGGGAATCTTACTCCCAAATCCGGTGAGTCTCAAATCTTTACATGGGTCTGACCCACTTTGCCTTTCGACTTTTAAGAAATCACCATTTGTAGTATATTTTCATTAGTGAGAGAGTAAAAAAAAGACAGAGAGAAACAGAGAGAGAGAGAGAGAGAGAGAGAGAGAGAGAGAGAGAGAGAGAGAGAGAGAGAGAGAGAGAAAGGTATAGAGAGACAGTGATAGAAAGAGAAAGAAGGAAACATGTATACTATTTGCTTAAATAAAATCAGCTTTTTGTCGTTACATTGTCTGGCTTTATATTTAAATTTAACAAAAAGATCTAAATTTAACAATTGTAACATATATAAAAGTTCATTGCTGCCATATCCAATGGTTTGAGAAATTTGCTATGCCAACGAATTGAGAAATGTTCTATGCCAATGAATTGAGAAATGTTCTATGCCAATGAATTGAGAAATGTTCTATGCCCACGGTTTGAGAAATGTTCTTTACCTCAGGTTGAGAAATGTTCTGTGTCACTGACATTTGCCCTCCAATGTATAAGGAAAGTAAACGTATTGAACTTGGCTTGGGCTATGTGATCGAAGTAATTGCTGATTTATATGACATTAAAGGGGAGACGACTGAAGTCACTCTTGATTTGATAAAAGGAACTCTTTCATTTTATTTGTAGACTCGAAATTACATTTCCCTCTCTCTTTCTCTCTCTCTCTCTCTCTCTCTCTCTCTCTCTCTCTCTCTGTCTCTGTCTCTATGTCTCTCTCCCTCTCTCTCTCTCTCTATCTGTGTTTGTGTGTGTGTCTTTCTCTTGACATGTCAGGCATGTCAAAAGTTACGTACTTCATTTACAGACCATGTACTACCAGGAAGGCATACCAAAGATTGTTGTGTGCACTTTCTGTACACATGTGGAACGCACCGTGAGTAGATCTGGGTGTCCCGCCTGTACACATGTGGAAACCACCGTAAGCAGAGGTGGATGTATGTGTCCTATGTGTACACTTAATAAACACACCATCAGTAGAGGAGGGTGTGTGGGTCCCACATATAGTCTCATAACATATTCATATAAATAATGTGTCAAGATTTGATGAAAACGATCTCCACCCCCCACCCCCCCCCAAACCTTTTCCCGTCCTTTCCTGTTGCCGATGACGTCAGCTATCTGTTGTCACTTGCTGTGGTAACCTAGCCGATGACGTCACAAAAATGTTATCACCGGCAGTGGTAATCTCGTTGGTGACGTCACATCAATGTAAAAAAAAATGACGAGAGTAAAGCCGTATAGCCTGTTATCAGTACAAACCACCGACCGTTGATCAGGTGCTTCCTCAAGGAATGGCTAGCTGTGAAACGACTGATCCCTGGGGCTTTGAGTTCTCCAGGTGGAGAGGAGGAGAGCGAGCGGGAAAGAGAGAGAGAGAAAGAGAGAGAGAGAGAAAGAGAAGGGGCGACAAAGAGATAGAGAGAGTAGGAGAGGAATAAAGAGAGAAAGTAAGAGGGGAAAGAGAGATATAAAGATACAGTGAAAGGGTTACCGGAATTTGTCTCAAAGAAATTTCATCGACGGAAAATTGATCGACGGAAATTTGATTGAATCTTTTTTTCCAGTTTACACGATACAATATTCGTCAATTTTTTTTAACGCACTATACCATATAGTAAAACAAAATAGTGCGTTAAAAAAGAAATTTGACTCAAAATTTGAACGTGTGAACTGAACAAAAGATTTGACCAAATATACGTTCGATCAAATTTCCGTCGATCAGTTTTCCGTCAACGAAATTTCTTCAAACAAATTTCCGGATACGATAGAGAAAGAGATAGAGAAATAGAATGAGGGCAAAGAAAGAGAAGGGAAGAGAGAGGGAAAAGAGAAAGAGAGAGCGCGAAAAAATAGAGATATAAAGATATATATATATATATATATATAGAGAGAGAGAGAGAGAGATAGAGATAGAGATAGAGATAGAGAGAGGGAGAGAAAGCGTAAGAGAAAGGGAGAGCTGGGGAAAGAGAGAGGGAGCGAGAGAAAGTAAAAGTGAGAGAGAGAGAGAGAGAGCGAGCGAGATACCTGGAAATAAGAAAAATCGAAAGGGAAATAATTTATATAGAGATACTAAGTGGGAGAGAGCAGGAGAGAAATGGGGAAGAAAGTGAAAGTGAAGAGTAGAAGAAATACAAAATTGATAAGTGTAGATCGAGAGAGACAGGAGAGGAGCGAGAGGAGAAAAGATAAGGGAACAGCCAGGGAGTGGTTGAGAGAGAAGAGGGTAAAAGAGAGAGAGTGAGTGTGTGTGTGTGTGAGAGAGAGAGAGAGAGACAGAGAGAGAGAGAGAGAGAGAGAGAGAGAGAGAGAGAGAGAGAGAGAGTGGCAGAGTAAGGTGAGCCAATACGAAGCTATTGTATGCTTTATATGTTCAGAATGAACAGACCATAGAGGCAATTCCCACACAATCAGTTCACAGACCAATCAAAACGAGGCACAAGATAAGGGAACAGCCAGGGAGTGGGGGAGAGAGAAGAGGGGAAAAGAGAGAGAGGGAGTGTGTGTGTGTGTGAGAGAGAGAGAGAGAGACAGAGAGAGAGAGAGAGAGAGAGAGAGAGAGAGAGAGAGAGAGAGAGAGTGGCAGAGTAAGGTGAGCCAATACGAAGCTATTGTATGCTTTACATGTTCAGAATGAACAGACCATTGAGGCAATTCCCAACCAATCAGTTCACGGACCAATCAAAACGAGGCACAAGTTTAAACTATTTGTATCTGAAGTGTTTACAATCAATCTAAGCAAAAAAACATGGCCTCGTTACTGGAGCAGATAAGCCGGCCAGGGCTATGAGACCATTTGTAGTTCTCCTGGCCTAATCAAAACTGCAGTTAGCCAGAAATCTATAGGAATAAGAACTCTTTGATCTCGTAAGGTAGGAAACACAAAGCCACCGTAACTGTGATTGTTAATTTGTATGTGCCTCTTTGTCTCCGTAGGCAGAGCTTGGAAAGTACTTAGTACTTTGTTTCAGTAGGCAGAGCTTGGAAAGTTCTTAGTACTTTGTTTCAGTTGGCAGAGCTGGGAAAGTTCTTAGTACTTTGTTTCAGTTGGCAGAGCTGGGAAAGTTCTTAGTACTTTGTTTCAGTTGGCAGAGCTGGGAAAGTTCTTAGTACTTTGTTTCAGTAGGCAGAGCTGGGAAAGTTCTTAGTACTTTGTTTCAGTTGGCAGAGCTGGGAAAGTTCTTAGTACTTTGTTTCAGTAGGCAGAGCTGGGAAAGTTCTTAGTACTTTGTTTCAGTAGGCAGAGCTGGGAAAGTTCTTAGTACTTTGTTTCAGTTGGCAGAGCTGGGAAAGTTCTTAGTACTTTGTTTCAGTAGGCAGAGCTGGGAAAGTTCTTAGTACTTTGTTTCAGTAGGCAGAGCTTGGAAAGTTCTTAGTACTTTTTTTTCAGTAGGCACAGCTTGGAAAGTTCTTAGTACTTTTTTCAGTAGGCACAGCTTGGAAAGTTCTTAGTACTTTTTTCAGTAGGCAGAGCGTGGAAAGTTCTTAGTACTCCTTGAGTTGTCTACTGTGCTCTATTCTTTGTTATATTTTCAATTCTACTGTTGGCTGAGGAAGGCTTTAAGCCTAAGCGTCCTTGTTTTTTTGTCCTGTTGTCTTATTCAAGCTTCACACATACCTCGATTTGCTATTTTATTCATTTACTTTGTTTCAGCAGGCAGAGCTTGGAATGTTCTGTAATGGTATTTGTAATTTTTAGCATTGATTGTTATTTAATTATTGATATTCTTTACGAGATTTTTTTAGTTTGTTGTTGTGTGTCTTTCTTTTTTTTAAAAAGGGGGTTGGGGGGGGGGTAAAGATTAGTAAACAATGAGGTTAACGTGACATTAGTGAAAAATCATGACAATTGAGTAATGTTATTTAATTATTGATATTCTTTACGAGATTTTTTTAGTTTGTTGTTGTGTGTCTTTTTTTTTTTAAAAAGGGGGTTGGGGGGGGGGTAAAGATTAGTAAACAATGAGGTTAACGTGACATTAGTGAAAAATCATGACAATTGAGTAATACATATGAATTTACCATTAGATTATTCAACAATAATTTTTACACCAGATTAGAGGAAAATATTTTTTTCAAGTGATTAATTATAAAAATAATGTGTATTTTGTTTGTTTGTTGTTATTTGCCCATGAAAAGATAATTATATACATATTAAATTAACAAACATTAGTTTGAGTTGCGTTGCTTTAAGTTAACTCATGACGAGAAATTCAAAATTATAAATGAAAAAGATGTGCACATTCTTTATTTATTGTTTAATTTAAGTCACAAAAAAGTGATACGTGGTAATCTGTTGTCACAAAAAAACAGGATATGTGGTAATCTGTTGTACCAAAAACAGGATATGTGGTAATCTGTTGTACCAAAAACAGGATAAGTGGTAATCTGTTGTCACAAAAACGGGATATGTGGTAATCTGTTGTACCAAAAACAGGATATGTGGTAATCTGTTGTACCAAAAACAGGATATGTGGTAATCTGTTGTACCAAAAACAGGCCATGTGGTAATCTGTTGTCACAAAAAACGGGATATGTGGTAATCTGTTGTACCAAAAACAGGATATGTGGTAATCTGTTGTACCAAAAACAGGATATGTGGTAATCTGTTGTATCAAAAAACAGGATATGTGGTAATCTGTTGTACCAAAAACAGGATATGTGGTAATCTGTTGTACCAAAAACAGGATATGTGGTAATCTGTTGTATAAAAAAACAGGATATGTGGTAATCTGTTGTACCAAAAACAGGATATGTGGTAATCTGTTTTACCAAAAACAGGATATGTGGTAATCTGTTGTACCAAAAAACAGGATATGTGGTAATCTGTTGTACCAAAAAACAGGATATGTGGTAATCTGTTGTACCATAAACAGGATATGGGGTAATCTATTGTACCAAAAACAGGATATGTGGTAATCTGTTGTACCAAAAACAGGATATGTGGTAATCTGTTATCATGAAAAACGGGACACGTGTTAATCTGTTGCACTTTCAACTTTAGCATTTGATCAAACGTTAAAAATGAGAAAGAGAGAGAGAGAGAGAGAGAGAGAGAGAGAGAGAGAGAGAGAGAGAGAGACACAGAGAGAGAGAGAGAGAGAGAGAGTATGAAAACAATATACAGATTGCTTGGAATGCTTGTAAAACAAATGATAATAAAAAGGGGGCTGGGGGGTGTTAATCTATGTCACTACGTGTTTATATGTGTTACTTTCAAAATTAGAATATGATAAAAAATGAAAAAAAAGAGAGAGAGAGAGAGAGAGAGAGAGAGAGAGAGAGAGAGAGAGAGAGAGAGAGACACAGAGAGAGAGAGAGAGAGAGAGAGTATGAAAACAATTTACCGATTGCTTGGAATGCTTGTAAAACAAATGATAATAAAAAGGGGGCTGGGGGGTGTTAATCTATGTCACCTTTCCCCTGCCCTTCTCTTATATACTACGTTGCAGGTAAGTCTTAATTTTACTTTTTTTTTCGCCGAAGAGGACTTACTGCGAACACACCCAGTTTTTGTTTGTTTGTTGCGTCATTTGTTCAGATGTTCCCATACTTTGTTTTGTTTATTTCCTTATTTCTTCTGCATAAAATAAAATATTCCTGTATTATTTGAACACTGGTACTATAATTAATAACAAATAAGTCTTGTATAATTCGAAACTGAACAACAAAAAAAAATTTGATTAATATTGCCAATAACTTTTATTCCATTGTTGACTGAAAAAATTTGTTCATAAAATCATAGAAGACCTGTTGTTTTTTGTTTTTAGAATAAAAGTGTATTTCATTTTAAAGTGAAATGTACAAAGATAATAACCCTTGAGATCAAAGAAAATCTTCAACATTTTCGTATACGCAGAGGTAATTTGTATACAAAGAATCTGCTTCAGGTTTATCCATAGACAATTTGCTTTACGTTTCAGGTATGTAAATCACAATTTGCTTTACGCGTGAGGTATGTAAATCACAATTTGCTTTACGTTTCAGGTATGTAAATCACACTTTGCTTTATGTGTCAGGTATCTTCCGTAGGTTTTGCTTTAGGTATCAGGTATCTTCTGTACGTTTTGCTTTATGTATCAGGTATCTGTTACAACACAGTCTGCTGTAGTGTTGGGTATCGATCGCATAATTCCGCGCATTGCCTTACCTGTCAATTGATAAGCCAAAGGATAAGCCAGGGGGATAACACCTAAACATAGGTAGAGCGACGACCCAACCACTTCATTACAGTTTAGAAAACCAGGCAAAAGTCAGGTACAGGTAACCTATGCCCCCCCCCAACCACCCCTTGTGCCACCACGGACGTCTACAAAGAATCGTATCTTTCTATTGGCGACATAGTCCCCCCTTTGAACAATTTTGTTATATTAATCTACAGACCGGTCGGTGTGACCAGGTACAATCTATACAACTCTTGTCACTGCCGTGTCTGGGGCTGAGTAAAGCTAGCACCCGTAAAGCCGTTAGTATAACCGTCACGGCACGCTGCCATTATGTCAGGTCACGGTGCAATGGTCCATAGAAAGTTTCGTAGATAGTTATTATTTGTTAGAGATCTGAGCGGAAAAAACCACAACCATATAAAATCGTTCAATGGGGATCTCTATATGGGATAGTATAGTATGCACAATGTTCACAGCCGTACTGCTAATATTATACTACTTATATAGCGGAGAGTTAACACAAAAAGATCTTTTCACCCATAGTAGTTGTGAATTATTTCAACACAAAAAAGTTGTGAATCGCTTCAATGAATAAACTTTTTGAAACCATTTAAACACATAATAATATTTCAACACACAATGATATTTCAACACACAATGATATCTCAAACACACAATGACATTTCAACACACAATGATATTTCAACACACAATAATATTTCAACACACAATGACATTTCAACACACAATGACATTTCAACACGCAATGATATTTCAACACACAATGATATCTCAAACACACAATGACATTTCAACACACAATGACATTTCAACACACAATGAAATTTCAACACACAATGATATTCAACACACAATGATATTTGAACGGCTGCTTTTTTGTTTTGTATGACCGGTTTTTGTTTGTCTCGTAACTATCTTTGAAATCAGTACGAGTTTTTCAATAAAATGATATATCTTTAGACCGATTTAAAAAAAATAATAATTTAATAGTCTAGTACAGGCCTGCACAACTCAAAATTAAGGCGGGTAATAATACTTTATGAAAAGCTTGTGCGGGCCGAAAAATGATAGGACAGGGGGGAAAGCTATCAAGAAAATAATAATAATAATAAAGAATGTTTCGTTACTTCGCGGGCCGCCAAGTAGGTGCTGGCGGGCCACATGCTACAATTTGCTCTTCACAAAATAGTTTGAACAGACGCTCACATTTGACATAAGCTTTAATATCGTTGATACACTTTATAACTGAATTAAGAACAGGCGAAATATTTTTAGCAACCAAGTTTTCCTTATGAATAAAACGTTGAACAAGAGGCAATAAGCTAAAAAATTTGCTTCGATATCAATAGTATACGAATGAAAAGTATAATATAATAAAATGTGCTGCGGATGGTGCTCCTAATAGTATGTGCAAATAAAATGGATGCTTTCAATTGATGAAGTTTGAGAATCCAGAAATGCTACTTGCGCATTGTGTTATTCATAGCGAAATCTTTTCGTGCTTTCTAATGATTTACAGAACAAAATCTCCTTTATCAATATATTATCTTATGTAAGCTAACAGTACGGCCTCACTGTCTTACAAAGTGGATTCATCATTTCGCGCTGAGAATTTTTGTTTGTTTTAAGCCTTGCAACATGTTGTATTTCAGAATCTTCTCTCATAGGGGTCTTCCATTAATTACTTCAAGAATTTTTAAGCAATTTATGCCACCCCCACCCCCCCTGTCATCATTGTCAAACTTTCAATGACCCCACCCCCCATTTAATTATGTCAACATTTTCTACCCCCAACCCCCCCAAAAAAAAACAAAAACAAAACAACAACAACAAACAGACAAAGGAAACATATTATCTATAAATGTATACATGCATCTTACTTTTTGCTGATCTATTTTAATGACACAAAATTGTAGGAAAGACATTTCATTACAACACGTTAAAAAGTTTTTAAACTTAAGTTGTATAATGCGGGATCAATTGAAAGGTTGTTAAAGACTAAATATCATTGTTTGTGGTATAAATATAATTATCGTCAGTAAAGCTGACAATTATCGTATAGTTTCTAGCTGCCATCATCTTCCAAAGGAGTATCCAGGTTTGCTCTATTGTAATAATGGGCATCAGGGACATAATTTGGGTAGGGCAAGGGACATTTGCCCCCCCCCCTAATTAGCGGGTTTTATTTAAATTGCTATGTACTGTGTCGCCTCCAGTAATAAACAACTTAACAAGCCGACCAAGTTATGGTTTTACCTCCCCTCCCCCCNTATCATTTTCATCTTTCAGCACTGATACACCAGACAAGTCATCATCCTCATCTAACCATTCAGCACTTAAAATAGAAGCATTGTCGGTGTGAGCGATGATTGCAATAAGCTCTCTCTATCTCTCCTTGCAGCTACTCGCATTGGTCGAATCCTTTTTTGTTGAGGAGCAGGTGCTAATTTGTTACTCTCAAGAGGGCTTTGTCGGTGCTGTTGAACATTCTTTTTCATCATGACTTGTGCTGCCAAACAGATGTGTTCAAGCAGCGATGTTATTATTGTTACTCACTTTACATTCCCCTAATTCTCAAAACATCGTATTCCTGCTCTGTTAATATCACTTAGCTTCTCTTGAACTAACAAAGTGTGCTAACATTCTGACCAGCAATCTGGAGCGCACAGACAGACACACATTAAATAAATCTTATATTTTTCAAAGCCTAAACATTATGACAATTACACTCATTTACACTTATGCGTGGTTTTTTTTTTTTTTTTAAATGTAATAACCAGTCAATTATTAAAATTAAAATTTGATAGAGAAAACATGATTGTTTACGTCAACTGATCTAACCCCCCCTTCCCTCCCCCTTTGTCAACAACTGTCAAAAATTTCCACCCCTTCCCCCCCCCCCATATTTTGTTGACGTAATTAATGGACGCCCCCATTTCATTTTTTTTTTTAAATTTTATTTTTTTGCCAGCAGTATTGATACTGAGCTTACATGTCATGTCATTGTCATCCTTTTCCAGAACTGTGTTAAATGCCGATACTGTAGTGTTGCGTTTGTTTTAAATGTGGTAAATTATTGATTTGTTTTTTGTTGACTTTGTACCACGCTTCGAGCCTTTGGGGATGAAGCGTGTTTTTGAAATGAACTTTATTATTATTATTATTATTATTACTGATGGTTTGATTAAATTCTTTCCTACAGTATGATTTTCCTTAACTCTAGCAATGAGTAAAGAAATTTCATGACTAGCCTCAAGGGTACACTTGACAATTGCAGTAGGAGCAGTAAACAGAGACTTTAAGGTTGTTCTTTTTCCTAAATTTCTCATTGATGTTTGAAAGTAATTTAAATCTGAATTACTGTGACAACTATGTTTGGCATCCACGTGCACCTCAAAACAGTTAGTTTTTAAATTCTAGACAGCTCATTTTTTAATTGATCTCCCCCCTTTTAACAATCAAATTGCCCCCCCCCCCTTTTTCCTGCGGAGCGTGGCCCCCACGTTGGGAAACACTGGACCTGGGTATTATTTTTAAACCATGCATTTCAGTTAATACCTACAAGAGTAAATTATGTCCACTTTCGTACCTACAAGCGCCAATCATATCCACTTTCGTACCTACAAGAGTAAATCATGTCCACTTTCGTACCTACAGGAGTAAATCATGTCCACTTTCGTACCTACAGGAGTAAATCATGTCCACTTTCGTACCTACAGGAGTAAATCATGTCCACTTTCGTACCTACAGGAGTCAATCATGTCCACTTTCGTAACTACAAGAGTAAATCATGTCCACTTTCATACGCACAAGCGCCAATCATGCCCTGCCTCGGTACGGCTTACGCCGACCGACATTCAAGACACTCTCTATGATTTAAGAAAGAAAAATCAATGCTTCATTTTTTCTTCTTCTCATCAATCTGTTAAAGAGCACTTTGAAAACATGTTTAATTCTTAGGAATAAATGGGCCGCGTCTTGTTGTCATGCCAACATACAGATATAAGAGACATACGCAGCTGACATAATAGATCCAAGCCAGCAACTCGATTGAAATGTACTGGGTCAATCCGGTCTGTAGTTCCTGTTCGCTTATATAAAGTGGTATTTTTTACAGCTGGGCAACAATTTATATTTTATTCATCTAACCGCAGAGCTGTTCAACCTGTGTGGCTGTGTGTCGGGACAAATCTGAAAGCTGTGAGTATGTGTCGGGACACGATACTGTATCTGACGGCTGTGTGTGTGTCGGGACACGATACTGGATCTAATGGCTGTGTGTGTGTGTCGGGACACGATTCTGTATCTGACGGCTGTGTGTGTGTCGGGACACGATACTGTATCTGACGGCTGTGTGTGTGTCGGGACACGATACTGGATCTGACGGCTGTGTGTGTGTGTGTGTCGGGACACGATACTGGATCTGACGGCTGTGTGTGCGCGCGGTAACACTTTGAGTCTTATATGTGTAGTAAGAAATATGTACCTGCGTGTATTTAAAAAAAATGATTATATACATTTGAATTTGTTGAGCTTATAGTATATGATAACAACGACTTGATGGTAAGGCATGCTAGTAGTTATGGTGAAATGATATACAATCAAGCCCACTTATCTCGACCTCAGTTAACTCGCCAACCTTATTAAGTTGACGTTTCTGAATTTGAAGCGCTAAATTCTCTCTTTGTCTTAGCATTTTTTCATCGGTTATGTCGATTCTTTTAAGTCGCCGAACCCTGATATCTTGCAAAGACGGCCAAACTTGCCACTTAATCTCGGTTATCTCGATCCCCATGACCAATCGCCGGCTTTTGAACTCCGCAAGAAGAAATAGCAAACAACAAATAAACAAGTGTTACATAATTAAAAATAATTATTTATTTCTTAAAATACAGGAGTGAAAGAATCCCTAAGTTTATGTTGTAATGATCGTCCTCCTCGTATGCACAAAACAGACTGTAATAAGTTCATTGTCACTCCTTTACGTAGACAACGGAAACTAGATCTCCGTATGACCCCGTGACTTACCGACCGGCATTGACCGGTTATTTATTTATCGTCTGTTTCCCGCATCCGAAAAATCTATCCACGCGCGCCGCTATGGAAAGTACATAATATTATAGACCTATTCTTTTAGAATATAACTTACATTTTTATAACATTCGTTTATAGAAAGCAGGTCTACTAAGTAGGGGCCTAAGCAAGCCAAGCTGTCATAACTCTAAGACTAAAATGAGTTCTTCACTACTAAAGTATTTATAATATCAAAATTCTAATCATGTACAGGATACAGTCTAATCAGTCAGTTTTAATAATCATCAGTGGCACTACAGCCCATGTAGGGCCCTGGTCTGCTCCCCCCACATCCTTCCATTCGGAGCGATCCATGGCTTTCCGCCTCCATGCGCGATCCCCAACTGGTGTAAATCCGTCTCCCCATCATCAATCCATCTCAGCCTTGGGCGACCGGTGAGTCGTCTGCCCCTAGGCTTCTGCCTGTATATAATTTTGGCTGCTCTGCATTCCGGCATCCTTTCAACATGTCCTGCCCAGCGTAGTCTGCCTTTTTTTTATCATTGTGACTATGGGTGGTTCTTTGTACGAATGGTAAAGTTCTTGGTTTGTACGGATTATCCAGATATCATTTTCTGCCACCAGGCCATATATTTTTCGGAGGATTTTCCTCTCCCATGTGTTGAGCAGGTTCTCTGCTTTTCTTGTGAGGGTCCAGGTATCACTAGCGTACGTTACTACTGGTGTTATGATAGTGGCGTAAATTGTCTTCTTTGTTCCCCTTGAGAGGTTTTTGCTCCCAGTAGCTTTTGTAGGCTGAAATAGGAACGGTTGCCTGCTGTTATCCTTTCTTTCACCTCTGACATAATCTCATTGTGCTCGTTTATAGTTGCCCCTAGATATTTGAATGTAGCCACTCTCTCAAATTTGTAGTTGTTTATATTGATGTTGTCATCAGCATGGGAGTTTCTTGACATTATCATATATTTTGTCTTCGGTTCATTTAAAGCAAGGCCAACTTGGACTGAGGCATTTTCAAGTTCCCAGTCAGTCTTAAGTTAATTCTAATATAAAGTAACCTAGACCTAGACTAGGCCTAAAACATATTAGGCTTAGGTCCTATGGCCTATTAATTATTATTGACTTAAATTATTAAATTAGGCTAGCCTAAAATTTAGTCTTAATTTAGTATATTTGACTCATTTTCATTTGATATACAGGTATATTATTATATAGAAGCAAGGAAAACATCTTTATCTAATTTTTAAAAATGTTTAACAAATTCCAGCTTTGTTGAGGTCCGCTGTTTATCGTCAATGGATTAATTCAAATTTCTTGGGGAAAAGTCTCGGATAAAAGAAATCATTGCAAGATAATGAGGCCCAGGACGTCCCACTCCTTGAGGGGCCCGGCGTGTTCATTGTGTGACGTCATTAGGTTCGGCTATTTTCACCAGATCAGACTCCTCGTCTCCACCGGCATCGACCTGGAGTCTCGCGATGACAGCAGGCGGACGCCCATCATGCTGTGCGCCTTCATGCAGCCAGAGTCCTGGGGGGCCAGCACGGCCTTGACCCTCATTGAGCACGGGGCAGACGTGGGCAAGACGGACTGCTGGGGGAGAAACGTCTTGCACTACGCGTGTATCTTTGAGAGGACGTCCCTCGTGAGGATCCTGCTCAAGGCGATCGATTACGACCTCAACGGGGCGGACAAATGGGGCAACACCGCCCTTCATTACGCCGCCATGTCCGGCAATTTGACCGTTACAAAGAGCATCGCCCAGAGCCTGAAGAGATACCGCATTAGCCCGAACGCACGCAACGATCAAGGGAAGACGCCGTTTGATGAGGCCACCCAAGCCGGAAACGACGCCTGCGCCCACGTCATTCAGCAGGAGCAAGCGGGCAGACGACCCGGAAGTGAGGTCATGAAGGATGTGCGTTTTGCGGATTCTGCAGTAAATTTGGAGAAAAGTGAAACTCTCAGAACTTGGAATGTACCATTGGTCAAACAAGGCAGGATAACGAGGCCGAAATCTGCTGTGTTCATCACCGGACGAGAATCCGGCTCGTCTTTCGACTCGGTTGACGGTGGCCGGTTTACGTCAGACGGGCGAACAAGTCTTTTTCACAGGTTTGTCTAGATTATTCGACATCGGTGATAAGATTACTGTACATTGGTTACTAGATTACTCGACATGGTGACTGTATAACTCGACATGGTAACTGGATTACTTGACATTGTTGACTAGATTACCTGACATTGATGACTATATTAGTCGACATTGGGGACTAGATTATTCGACATTGGTGACTAGATTCCCTGACATTGATGACTATATTAGTCGACATTGGGGACTGGATTTCTGGACATTGACAACTAGATTACTGGACATTGATGAATGGATACTACGACATTGGTGACTAGATAATTCGACATTGGTGACTAGATTCCCTGACATTGATGACTATATTAGTCGACATTGGGGACTAGATTATTCGACATTGGTGAATGAATTACCTGATATTGGTGACTAGATTACTCCACACGGACTAGTTCTAGGGACGTTTTAAACGCCTCATAGGCGTGGTGGTCGAAGGCGTAATGCGGTTCATAGGAAAATGTTGTTTTTTTATACTTTCTTTTTATTTTTATTTTGTTAATTATGGTTGATTAAACTTCGACTGCATATCGTTCTCAAACAGAATTGGTTCCAATATATTTATTTATTTTATAATGACAGTTTTTCCAGATACATTTTACTTTAGTTACTTATGAAAGTGTTTACTATATAAACACTGTATACATGTTGATCACTTCTTTCCATAGTAGGTCCAAGAATCCTCTCTATGCCAAGGGCCACAAGAACGACGACGACATCATATTCTGTGCCTCGGAAAAGGATTTCCGGAATAAACCCGACTACGTCTTCAAGTTGGTCCACATGTCGTATGACCCTGACCGCGGCGACCCCGTGTACTCGACCAGTCACAACCCTGGCTGGACTGACCAATCCCAGCGACTTGCGGGGCATGACGACTGGAGGTGTCAGTTGAACGTTTTATTTGAGGTAAAGTTCCAAGATGTTCATTTGGTTCTGTGTGGATGTGATTGGGTAATGTGATTGTCCCCCACATAAACGTTCTATTACAAAAAAAAAAAAAAAAAAAAAAAAAGAAACTTTAATGATAATCGTCATGACAATCCATGAAAACATTATCACTTCCTCCCCAAATAAACGTTTTATTAAAAAAAAAAAAAAAAAAAAAAAAGAAACTTTAATGATAATCGTCATGACAATCCATGAAAACATTATCACTTCCCTCTTGCCGTAAGGAAGATTTTACATTTCTACCGTTTTTACAATCACATTTTTACAAATACATTTTTACAAATGCATTTTGACACATACATTTTAATTTGAAACTTATTACAAAGGAAATTAATTTCTTTTTTTCTTTCTTTTTTTTAAAGCAAAATTTGAACTTGGTTGATAAATAATAGAACGTTGTTAAAAAATAGTTAATACTTTAACCACAAAATAAATATTTAGCATAATCTTTGTCACCTAATCCAAATCAAAAGTGCAACAACAGTACCTCGGCGTTCAGTTGCCTGCCTCCAAATATAGTATTTCTAACTCAGGTTTACGGACACCAGTGTACGCCATCTTGGAGGTCGACCAAAACACCGGAAATACCCACAGACATCCCAGAATCCACGACACCGGTGATCTTAGAGGAAGTGGACGGGGAGGAGAAGGGTCGCGGCAGACGACAAAGTGTGGTGTCTCGTAACTCCATTAGTAACGGTCAGTATTGATGGACGCCGGCGTTTGTTGCCATTTTGCACTGACCAACTGCTCTGGTCGTTCCTGGTCGGGAGAGTTTAACTGTAGCGGCCCTAATTTATTACAATGCATCCTTTTGCATCCATCTGTAGTGATCACACTTAATGCCCATGATAATTGGTCCCTCTCAAACTGCGTCCGTTGGGGCCATGTGTTACCAATTACACGCACCTGTATTCGTTCATGTGCTTACCAGTGGTAATCGTTGTTTTTTTTTTTCCTTTCTATTTTCAACTTTTGTTCAATTAATTTTTAATCACCTGTTCTGATATTTCATTTCTGAACCCGTTCATTATTATTTAGCTTTTTTTCATTTAGCTTTTTTTTCATTTAGCTTTTGTTATGAAAGCTAAATAGAAATGAGTAAGTTAGCCTAACAATAAAGCTCCTTCATTACATCGCCAAATTGTGCTTCCTATAGTTCCATCTTTATATCATTGATCTGTCCATCTAGATTCAAAGAGACGCCAGTCTGCTGCCCGACTACGCAAGATGGCCGCCAACTTTGGCTCACAGACACCGAGATAAGAGACGAGAGTTGATCTAAGATAAAGCAGCCTTATGATTACAAAGCTAAAAATATGAACTATGAATTGTACGAAATTAAAAATATTAAGCGAAGATTGATCAACATGTGTATTGCTAGAATGTTTTAATATGTTGAATATAGTGTTTGTCAATGAGCTGCGCATAAGTTTAAAAAAAATAATAATAATAATTGATACTATCAAGTAAAGTAATAAAATTGATACCATCAGGCAAAGTAATAAAACTGTATGAGTGGGAGTGATTGTAACAGTAAATTCATGTATTTATAAGATACAATTTGCTTGCGAGGGAGTATCATTTGAAAGATAAGCGGCTTATCAATCGTTCCTCGTTGTGGCGAATCTGTTCCAGGCGGTGACCTGGTGGTCAGTGCACAATTGTCTTTATTTGTCTTTAAAACGAACACCGGTCAGGACAAAGCTAGTTTAGTATCAATTTAAAATGACGGGACAAAGCTAGTTTAGTATCAATTTAAAATGACGGGACAAAGCTAGTTTAGTATCAATTTAAAATGACGGGACAAAGCTAGTTTAGTATCAATTTAAAATGAATTTTCTCCTAACTGATGTCATGCGCGTTCACCAACTTATCATTCGCCACGTCATTTCTATTCGATTGCATATCAGAGCTTGCGAGATCTCTTATAATTTGCAAGAATGTTAGCGCTGATCATACCGAATCAGCAATACCGTAGTTCTCCTTATAGAAATGGACGTACTCTCCAACCCGTCAACACTTCCTCCTGCCTTTTATCTAATCCATCTCTATAGAACAGGCTCAGACAATTCAGCTCTGAGTGAGTGCAGGATTTACCAGTCTGGTGAGCACGAATTGTCGAACCTGTTTTGCAAATTCACTAGATTTTTAAATTTTTCTTTTTTTTAGTTTTTAGTTTTAAAGTGCATGACTTCAGTTGTTGGCCTCAACTTGCAGTTTCTAGTGAATGGGGCTGAGAGGGACACCGTTGCATTCTAGTCACGCTTCAGGTGGACAGAACGTGTCCTCCATATCTGAGAACCAGTTCCTTCTAAATTGGCCAAACACTATTTGCTTAATTAATACAAAGATATAAATGCAAGGGAAACAACTGAAACAATGTCGAGAAAGAAAGAGTTACTTTTCTTAAAACCAGTTTTCAAAGTTTAAACCAGGTGTTCTTAACCTTTTTGGAGGTACCGAACCCTACCAGTTTCATATGCACATTCACCGAACCCTTCTTAATAGGAAAAAATAAAATATGATTTTTTTTCTGATCTTTTTTTTGGACCTCCGCCGAAACCCTGAGACTGGCTCACCGAACCCCTGGGGTTCGATCGAACCCAGGTTAAGAACCACTGGTTTAAACTATAACCGACGTCAGGGGGCAGTGAATGAAAGAAAAGAATTGATGTCATGTGTAAAAGATTTACTCCTCAACATTATAAACGTGGTCTTGAAACTAACTTGACTTTGACCGTTTAAAATAGAGTAGAAATGATGTGATGTGCTACATAGGAGCTCATAAAAATGTATTACTCACAGAATTATTATAATTCTATATTTAATTATGAATCATTATTAATAGCAATATGAAATTTAATAAATATATTTTAAACTTGTAACATATGTTGTTTATTATTATTATTTATTTTATTTTTTTGCATGTGCACATTTTTTAAATGCTTTTATTTATTCAGCTAGAATATTTTATTTATTATATAGTGGTTGGGGGGGGGGGTAGATAATTTTACGATATTCGAACTCGGAGTAGAAGAGGCGTAAACCACGCTACAATAGCAAGCAGATAACTGATTAAAATGGATTCTAAGAGGAACTTTATTATTGTTAAGAATTTATTTATGAAACTGGCATTTGATATTTGAAAATATACGAGAATGTGTTAGATATTTGTAAAAATGTGAGAATGTGTTTGATATTTGTAAATATACGAGAATGCATGGGCGCCCGCAGGGGGGAAGGGGGGGCACTTGCCCCCCACCCCCCTGGATTGATTGGATACAATTTTTTTAGACAAAAAATAGACAAAAAATGTATTAAAGTAAAGAGAAAGTAAAGAGAAAGTAACTAAGCTGATGTCCTGTCCGTTCGTTCACCATACAAATACGCTACAGTCAATTGAAACTATATTAAAATATTACTAAAAATTTTTTGCCTCCCCCTGGAAAGTTAATCAATTTTTTTTTACCCGCCCCCCCCCCCCCCTTAGAATGTTTTCTGCGGGCGCCCATGCGATGATGGGTTTGATATGTGTACATATATGAGAATGGGTTTCATATTTTTTAAATGGGTGGGGATGCTCGTATAGCCTCACAATTTTGCTCACAATTTTTTGTTGTTTAAGGTTGCCTTTCTTGAAGTCCTAGAGGCTAGTGTCGAGCAAGGTTCCTTTATGGAGAACAACGATCGGCAACCTGCGGCTCTTCCGGGTCTAAAAGCGGCTCTTTTAATGACTAAATGCACCTCTTTATCTTATTAACAATTATTAAAATAGTGTTATAATGAATTAAATAATAATACTCGCTTTAATGTAATTGCTAAATTCTAATTTTGTGCTTTTCGGATTTCAAACACAACTCCGCGTGTCATGTGCACATGTGCACGTTCGCTATCCAAATCTGCCTCTGCCTGGGGCTAGATAAATATGTATGAAATTGCTCTTCACTCAGGACAAGAGTATGCCGACCCAAAATACAGACTGATACAAAAGAGAAGTGAAACTCAAAACAAAGGGCTCCTTGACCAGCATGTCCAGCCTTTTTATAGCTCATCCCATGCCGGCTGCCCATTTTTATATGTGGGACTTCTCGGTGTTAATCTCTCCCCCCCCCCCGCCCCAGGATTAAATCAGACTTACTTTGTTAAGAATCCCATTCCAACCAGGATTAATACAAAAGAGAAGTGAAACCCAAAAAAAAGGGCTCCTTGACCAGCATGTCCCGCCTTTTTATAGCTCACCCCATGCCGGCTGCCCATTTTTATATGTGGGACTTCTCGGTGTTAATCTCTCCCCCCCCCCCCCGCCCCAGGATTAAATCAGACTTACTTTGTTAAGAATCCCATTCCAACCAGGATTAACACTGACTAACTTGTCTAAGAAGCATGTTTATGTTTTCATGTTTCACATCAGATAAAATAGAGCACACTCCATGATCATACTTTCTAGAGTCTGTGTCTTGTTATCACACCTCCCCCCCCCTCCCCCACACACACAATAATAGAAACTGACATATTTTATCTTGACTTCGCCCGCCACCTACACCCAGACGACCAATTATCTACCCCTAATTAGCTCTTCATCTAATCCACACACCCTGTTATCATAACCTAGAAACACTTATCAGTACCCATACACAAATCTAACCCAGTGGCGTACAGTTACGTCATTCGTGTAGGGTAGGATGGGTAATTTCCCCCCCCCCCCACTTGAATTCTGGGGTTTTATTTAAATTGCCACGTACTAACCTTGGGTGCGCCTCCATTAATAAACAACTCAATAAGCAGACTAAGTTTTGATTTTGCCCCCCCCCCCCACCCCCACTGAAAAAAACCTGAAATGGTGCCTCTGGTGGCGTAGCTAAGGGGTACTGCCTCGGGAAGCACTTTTCTTTTTGATAATATAAAGCAGGGGTGTCAAACTCAATCACTCGACGGCCCAAACCTCAAATCACATGTAAGGTTGCGGGCCAAAACTCAAATCACATGTAAGGTTGCGGGCCAAACCTCAAATCACATGTAAGGTTGCGGGCCAAAACTCAAATCACATGTAAGGGTTCGGGCCAAACCTCAAATCACATGTAAGGTTGCGGGCCAAACCTCAAATCACATGTAAGGTTGCGGGCCAAACCTCAAACACATTAAGGTTGCGGGCCAAATATCAAATCACATGTAAGGTTGTGGGCCGAACAGGATAACCATTCAATTTGCGGATAATTAATATTTAAAAAACAACAACATTTATATAAATTAAAACAGAAAAAAAAAATGAATCATTAAAAATCATTGGCATAGCCATTTTCGTTCTTATGTCAATGTGTGAGAGCTGGATGTTTGGCACATTTTCTTGGCTACAAAAACAAGTAAGTTCGTTTATGTTGGGAGTAACGATCTGTGTCCCTGAGATTCTCATGATGGACTGCAGGTGTTCATCAGTGAGACGACTCTTGTGAGATGTTTTGTTAATCCTAATCACATAAAATAGCTGCTCACAGAAATATGTGTTACCCATCAGGCTCAAGGTTCGAGCCGCATGTAGACTAAGCTGGGGCATCTCTTCAGGAATGAAACGAGTGAACTGTGCTGGCCCAACTGTGTCGTACTTGGCCTTCAGTGTCCCATTACACCGCAACTCTATTAGCTCCATCTGCAAATTTACAGGTGCAGTTTCCACGTCTATGGGTTACGAAACAGCTCGAAATTACATTTCTGTGCTTCAAAGTCACTAAAGCGCCGTGTGAACGAGGCGCAAAGTAAGCTAAGTGTTTCAGCTAAATCTGTATTGGGGAAACACCATGGTGTTGACTTGGATACAATTGTACGCCGGTCAAGACCTCGCGGGCCTGATATCATTATACAGCGGGCCGGATGTGGCCCGCGGGCCTTGAGTTTGACACATGTGCTCTACAGTATAGCTGTCCTTGCGTCACGCGTTAAGCACAAGCCCCCGTAATCCTTTTCGTAACAGGTTTGTTACCGAGAGTAACGCCGCTTAGACCGAGTGCTGACAGGTCGATCACCGGCTGTTTGATTGACAGCGACAGTGAGACGTTCCGTTAGCGGTATCAACTGTGTGTGGATACAAAATCTCTGTCCCAATAGTAGGAATAAATTTGTTGTGTGTGCTATGGCTGACTTGCGTTAGCGGACATCAATAGACACGGTAAAGTATCGATTAATCCCTATACTGGACTCCCTGGGGCTGGACATTGTATGGATGCCTGTGTAAGGAGTATTACTATTGTTTTATATCATCATTGAAAGTTTCTTGCAGGACTAAACGTTTGTGTAGGACATGACATCGTGTAGGACTTAAGGTTTGCTTAGGACATGACATCGTGTAGGACTTACCGATTGTGTAGGACATGACTCGTGCAGGCCTTAACGTTTGCGTAGGACATGACATCGTGTAGGACTTAACGTTTGTGTAGGACATGACATCGTGTAGGACTCTACGCTTCTGTATGCATTTACATCTCTATAGGGCTTTATATTTGTGTCCGATTTTTCATTTCTCTATGACTCTATTTATGTAGGACTTTACATTTGTGCATGGCTTTCCATATGTGTATGGTATGACTACATGCATGTACGACTTTTCATATACGTATGGCTACATGTGTGTAGGACATTTTAATGTACGTATGGCTACACGTGTGTAGGACTTTTCACACACGTATGGCTACACTTGTATAGGACTTTAAATTGCGTAGGACTTTATTCTGTGTACGACTTTATCCTGTGTACGACTTTATTCTGTGTACGACTTTATCCTGTGCTGTATTCGACTTGTTTTGAAATTGGCCACCGGTTTAACTCCAGTTACAGCACACTAAGAAAATGACATTAAAATACACAGGTGTGTTGCCCTCAGACAAAATGTCAAATGTCACCTACACGTTCTCACGAAATGTCACCGCGTATTGATTTCAAACTTTGTGTGGCTCTGCTGTTCATTCTGACTGAATATCATCTTTTGTGTTCACCTCCTGAAGTCAATGTGCAAGTCGCTCGCAGGGGCAGTGGGCGGTGGGGTCATTTAATCTGATATTTTAACAGAGGCGGCACGTGTAATGTGGAAGTAGAACAACCGAACGATTCCAACGACAAACTACCTGATATCAAGCGGCTAGGTTTGAACACAACACCCAGTTGATGACCGTGAACACAACACCCAGTTAATGACCGTTTGAGGCTCCTCTGTTTGATAGTTTACTTTAATGCATCAGTGGAACCCAAGAGCCCAGGGTTCTTCAAGGGGTGCGAGAAGGCACTTTGGGGGGAGGGTGGCGAGAAGGCACTTCGGGGGGTGCGAGAAGGTATTTCAGGGGGTGTGAGGAACAGAGGAGACAGTAGCTTTTAAATTAGGTGTTTAAATGATTATTTATTTCCAAACAATTCTTCAGTAACATCTTCATTGGTATTTCAGGGGGTGTGAGGAACAGAGGAGACGGCACTTTGGGGGGGGGTGGCGAGAAGGCACTTCGGGGGGTGCGAGAAGGTATTTCAGGGGGTGTGAGGAACAGAGGAGACAGTAGCTTTTAAATTAGTTTTTTAAATGATTATTTATTTCCAAACAATTCTTCAGTAACATCTTCCTTGAGTTCACAAGTTTACGTTCTAAGTTCCACGGATCTCTTTGCAATTCAATAATCAATTTAGAAATTCATTGAAATGGGTATATTCAAAATTTAAAATGTATTGTTACTTTAAAAAAAAAAATTTTATTTAGGGGTGAGTGACTAGTCCAATAATTCATAGGGGGTGAGGGGTATACCAAAGGTTGGGATACGCCGACATGAGCCATAGACTCGCATAGGCACCAGCCCATCTCTAAGCGAGGGGGTTCGT